TAAATAAAACAGGATAAACAGCTGTGTTACACAGCACCTGAATACTTTCAGAAAGAAAGAAATGGCAAGCTACAAATTCACACTAACATTCCTTTCACCCTTCTACAGTGCTATTAGTCCAGCTTTAGTCGGTAAATAGTAAAATTATTGCTGGATGTGGTTCCAGGTCAGCTACACTTACAACACACTTCTGATTACATCTGCCTCTGACCAGGGCTGTCTCAATGCTATAGGCTGCACGAAAACCAGACTGAAATTTCTCATACAGACCAAAAGTCTGAAGATGGTATTCAAGCTGGCAAGCCACAACCTTTTCCAACACCTTTGAAAGAAAAGGCAGGTTGGAAATGGGCCTGTAATTTGCAAGGATGCTTGGATCCAGACCAGGTTTCTTTAGGAGTGGCCTAATGAGAGCTGTTTTGAGGGCTGATGGAACTATTCCTGACTGAAGCGAGGCGTTTATTACTACTGTTATGAGGGACTGATGGCAGAGAGATTTTGTTTTACTAGAGCAGTGGGGAGAGGGTCCACTAATAATAAAAGTGGCAATTTGATTTATGATTATGTCCGTTTGTGCAATTGCTTTAGGTCCTTTAAAAGGGTGGAGGGCACATATGAAATGTGTTGTAGTTCCTACATTCACCTGATGTGGACGTTAATACCCTCCAACTAAAGCTGAAAGTCTGCACTTAAAGCACATCTGATTGTCAACCTGATCTGATAGTGGTGGTGTACAGAGCTGAAATGCTTCAAATTGTGTCAATGTTCAAATATTTATGGACCTGACTGGATGTTGTGTTAATGAAGGTATTCAGATGTAGGTCGATAATAACTGGGTTTTATGATGTCCATCTAAAAGGAGATTCTGAAGATATGGAAGACAAATAACGACCGGACCTGAAAACTTACCTGAAGTGTGCAGTGGCAGTGAAAGTGACGGGTGAATTATAGATCAGACAGAATAATGTACAAAGGCGGAACACTAAGTGTTTGTGTGTTGCTGCCCTCTTCCTTCCTCTAGGAAATACTACAAGCGTCTGAAGCAGTCCTTCACTCAGTTCTGGGCAGTGATGATGATAACCAGGAACACCATCAAGAGACGCCACTGGAGGAAGGTAGACATGAGACAGAGATCCCTACAGCAGAGTCCACACAATCTCTTAGCAACCCCATGTTTTCTGCCTTTATTGTGCCAGAAATCCTTTCTCCAACAGTCTCTTAACAGTCCCAGCAGTTTAATGCAACAGAGCTGTAATGTCTGTGTCATCTCAGCGTTCCCACCCTGACACACATGTTTGGGGTCAAAGTGTAATTCCTCTTATCTCCTTTCTTTTCATTTCCTTTAAAATGACTTTGGTACTTGTGCTGACCATATTGTTATATCAGTACCCTGAACAAACACTTAGCTTTCAGTCATACTTTCAGATTATTGACATTTTTTCTATAGGAAAAGGGTAGGATCAGCAAGATTACAAAAACAGGTTTTGTCGAGCACCTCGCTAACCCTCCACATAGCTTTGGTTTTGTTCATCATGGAGAAAAATAGAAATTCATCCACGGTTCTCAAAACATTAATGGAGTGACAACTGCAATGAAAAAGTATTGAATGTTTAAAGGGTCAGTCAAGTGACAACCTCACTGATTGTCAGCAGTTTCTCTACATTCTATGCAGCCAAAAATGTGTGTTGTTACCTTCTAAGTTAAGTCTTTTAGTGTTTGTTATCGTTGCGTCTTTTTGTTTATTAATTAACTGGTTGATAAATTAGCTGATTCTAAAATCAGATATGCAATAGAAGCCATTCTGCCGTTCATCTAAAAGGTAAAAATGAAATATTATTGCATATTAAGTATTGACATAAAACCTGCATTTTAATACAACACTCAGTCAGTCAATCCAATACCAGTGTGAGTGGTGGTACGGGCAAAAATTTGTGCCACTAGAAACTAAATTTGAACTCATAAAATTCAAGAGCAGCTTGATTTGATTTTAACTTGCTAAACTCAATTTTAAATTAGGATGACTGAAATTCATTTTTTAAAATTGTAATTACTCACAACAAAATTAAAAATATATAATTTGAATTCTTTTTTTTTTTTTTAAAATATATAATTTGAATTCTTTTTTTTTTTTTTTCTCCACAAGTTCATTTTTTCAGGTCAAAATATTTGAAACTCAGATTCAAATAGTTTAATGTCAGTTTCCAGTGGCACATATTTCTGATCATAAGATGTAGACAGAAATCTCGGCGAATACCCTCTTTATGATGAGTAATTTTTTACCCTGCAGGGCTGGGCCTTGTATAAATTGATGCAATGTTTGAATTTAGTCTGTGTGATCTGTTCGTTGCAGAGTATCTCATATGTAGTTAATTCCTGTAAATAATTTTATGTAATTCAGTGATGCAGTTCATGTAATATGTGTTTTTTCTACCCTTTGCAAACAGTTATGCTTGGAAGACAATTATTAGGATTCTGTAGACCAGCACAAAGGAAAATGAAAGTGGGAGAGGTGATCTTATGACTTACGGTACCTGCAGTGCCCTTACACAACCTACTGGGTGTGTTCTGTTATATGTTTTAGCACTGGAAACGACTACCTCCATAAATCGAATTCTTCCCTTTAACAAGCTTTCTTATCTTTAATTAATCATGTACGCACACACACACACACACACACACACACACCCTGGTTACACCTCATTCACGCACTTGTCTTGGACTTCAACCCTGTCGGTGAAATTCGAAGCAGCACTGCATCTCTCCTTCCGCCTTTTGAAACCTGTCTCTCAGACTTCCAGCTCCACAGCTCTAACAGGTAGGCTGCTCGCTGCTGTTTTTTAACACTCTGTCAGATCACATGGAAAAATGTATTCAGTAATTTAATTTATACTGCACTTGGGCCATAGCTTACAACTGAAAAATAAGGATCATGATCGAGGGAACTGCCGGTGTCAGGTTTCAAAACACTGAAGCTGTTTTATTTGTGTGGCTCCTCTCTTTCTCTTTTCTTACCTTAAACTAAGCTGAGCTTTTTCTTCTTTTTGTTTGTCCCTTTGCATGTGTGATAGTACAGCAAAGGTGTTAGATGTTATTGTTTTATGAGGCTTGAACTTTGAACGGTGGAGCTGTCAGGGGCAGAGGCTGCCTGTGTCAGCTATTCAAGCTGAGTTCCACTCATCCAGAGCTTTACTTTACAATAAAAAGTATTCTCTGAAAATAAGATTAGAGACATTCTGCATCATCCACCTCTCATACTACATTATAATATTTCCTATTTTCATTTTTAGCTTTAGATTCCCAGGTAACAGTTTTATTTTTCCTTGGTAGGAGATAAGTTTAAGACATGTAAATGTGATTTCTTTTGAAGTTTTCTATGGATGGACAACCTGACAACATAGTTTTTCTGTGTATTGGCATATTACAGACAAGCACACTTCTCAAATATGAAGAAAATAAGACACATTATTTCGATCCATATTTCCAGTCATTAAAGGCTCACTCCATGAAATATTAGCATCTCGTTTATTAACTTGTAATGCTTAGTGACAACTTGTAAGATGATGTCTTGTGACGCTCTGAAGGTTTACCCCAGTGATGCCAAAATTTGTTTTGGAGAGTATAATATTCTGGCCAGAGATCCCTCATGCAGACATGGTAATTGGTCTAGATGTTGGATCAACACCAGTGTTTTACAGATACTTTTTTTAAAAATTTTTTTTTTTTTTGAATAGGTGAGATTTTGATGTATTGGTCTGATTTTGCTACGTGAATGTTTATTCTGTTAACACGTTAAATGTTGTGTGGCTGATGGTGCCACTTGTCAGTCAGAGAGGATGAATACATTTATCTTATATTACATATAGTAGACTGCAGTCAATCTAGTTTTGGTCTAGTATGATGTTAGAGCATTAGACTACTCATTTAACCTCTTAGGCCCTAGCCTTTCTTCTTTACCTTTTTTTTTTTTTAAACATACAATCAGTCTATGCGTCTTAATCATCCAGGCCAGAGTGAAATTTGAAAAAGAAAAATCTCCTTTTTACTTCTACCAAATCAAAACAGTGATGTAACTAACAGCCTCATGACAATGACACTTTGCTGTTTTTGAGCCTTGTCCACAAACTCTCAGCTTTAGCTCTACCAAATCTAATGCAACAATGAAATTAAATATGACAACAGAGAACCAGTTTTAATCATCATAGTACGAAGCAGCATCTTCATGCCAACCCTGTAAAAACAGTGACAGGTTGCGTTTTTCCATAGACTGTAAAGATGAGTGTCTTGCCACTACCTTCGTCACTGTACAAAGGTGAAGGCAACAAATGGCAGAACAGGGCGCTGCCGAGCTGCTCTGGTGATGTAATTTGCAATCAGAGTCTGTGCAGTAGTGACCTGGGGATGGAGATGTGGTATTGAGATGCCACCTACTTGGACTTGGACTGTTGTGGACAGTTACTGTGTGCTTATCATTTTCAAGACAAAATGATTAGTAACTGCTAGCCTTCTACCTAGCCAGCTACATTTCTTAGCTTGGCATCAAGGGCCTGGTAAGGTGCTCGATAAAAGTCTCATTTAACATTTATATCATTTAAGTGATATTGCACATATATACACTTATAGTGTATATTGAGACAGTGAGGGTGAGTTGTGGTCTTCTCTGATTTGTGACACACTTGTTTATTTTGGAAGGTTCACACATTGTAAATCCTCTCTGGTAGAGCAGGGTTGGGCAGTCTGTTTGTTTGTAGACCTATTCCTTTGATTTACTTTGATTATCAAAGTAAAGTATTACTAAGTATTTTCTACTTATACACTTGTACACATCCATGTGTAATCTGTTATGAATATCAGACATTAGTTTATAATAAGATCTTCACCTGATACCTGTATCCAGAAAGATCAACAGAGTAATGTAAATGTAAAAATGTGCAAACACTGTAAACAGTGGGAAAGGCAGAGATATGGATTATCTCTGTCATATCTGAGTGACGCTACCTAGCTGCGTTTAGGAGGCTGCTCCCCATAAGCCATAAAACTCCTGATAAAAAACAATCTTTCAGGACTGTTGGAACTGCGTGGCCTGAGGTGTGAGGCGGAGCAACGGGACTGTGGGCGTTGCACAAGAATATAACAGGACGTGTGTCTAAGAATAGATCTTATTGAACCCACTGCTCAGGGACAGGTGAGGAAGTGTTTATAGTGTTGTACATGGACAACTCACCTGCGGAATTACACAGGGAATCAGCAACAAGCTTTAGGTGAACAAAGCTAAATCGTGGACTAATGTGACTTACAAGATGGAATCATTCTGTTCCCAGTGGTGGACTAACTGGTAGGATCTGGTTGTGTTTATTTCAGGAATTTCACGAGAAGAGCAACGTAAAAGCAGTGAGAAGCGCAAAGCCTGTCTCCTCAGGGATGGTAAGGCAACAAAACGGCCAATCAAGTTGTATATCATGGGAAGTAACCAGCCTACTGCTTTTCTCTCTTATTCCTTACTCACTGTGATAACCACACTCCGACGCTTCATTTTCTTTTTAGGATGTGGGGCTGTTGGAGATCCCTGCTGAGCTGTCCGCCAGACTTCGCAGTGGAGCAGGTGAGTTTCACTAAAAGCTCAACTACAATATTGATCTGATAAGGCCGCATTCTGAACAAAATGCTTCAAACAATGGTGTTAATTTGTAGGATCCAAAAATGTTATGAAGCTTATGACTGTGGTTCTGTCTCTGACCACCAGGACAACAGCATGCATCAGGGATCATAGAGGTTGCACCTCCCGAAGTGAAGGCAGAACACAAGCTCTCTCTGCCTCTGGATGTAGACAGATACCCATTCTCTCGCTATGCCAACTCCATGTCAAGGGTGAGTGAAGACGGTGTGTGCTCAGAAATGCACAGTCATGTTTTACTAAAATGAGCAGCAGCAGAAAGAAACAGATGTGTTTTAGCCCTGTAAGTTTTTTGTAGCATTGCTGACACATTTTTGGGTGTGATCCTTATCAATCAGTAACTGGTGATCGATAAGGAGCTGATCCACACCATCCCATCAACAAGGTTCTAGTAGAAACATAGGAAGACCTACTTCATATTCTGCTCTTGCCAAAACCAACTTAATAGACCTCCATACAGACACGTACTTATTCATTCAAACTAAATACATAACTGTACATCACATTACTGTTGTTGGTTATCAGTGTTCTGATTATTGACCACTTCATTTTGTACCAACAATGAGAAAATGCATACATAAATAAACTCATCATATATAGATCTTCCAAATATATCTCCATCAATAGATACACATCTGTATTCATAAATAAACAGGAAGATAGCAATTCCCCATTTTAGGCCCTGGGATACTCGGTCTGTAGGCAGCTTAACAGAAACAACCTTGCAATCAGCCCTTCAAGCCTCTCTGTTTCCATTGTGATGTGCGATCCAAACTCTAACTCTGAATGTGCCAAAATAACAACAAATAGTAGTTACTGGACGTAACTCCAGTTCTGTAAGCAGGTAGAAAATAGAACAGTGGAGTTTTATTATGTTAGCCTACGTGGTGAATTTTACCTTGTTGATGATGATATTTGAGTGGAGGTGACTGCAACTGGACAAGGACATCAAGAGGGCAGAGAAATTATCTTGTTGCCATCTCCATTGTTTCACACAATTCATACAAAATTCAAGTGGAATGAGATTTATTAATTTAAAATTAAATCTACAACATAAATATTTCAACTAAATATTTTCAACTGTAACTGTTCTTAGCAGCTTATTGTTTTAAACAAAGTCAAAATCGCACTTGAATCAATGCCTATACTTTTTTATTGCATTAAAATAAAGTGACTTAACAGGCATCAGGAAAACAGCAATGATTTCAAGAAAGGGAAGATTTGTATTAGAAACATGTTGAGGGAACTTGAACTAACATGTTTTTGCTTTATCAAAACTTTAATGTCAGGCTCAATCCTAGATTTTAATGACTTTCAAATTCTACTTCATAATATTTCTCATACAAAGATGTCCAGCAGTCACACTTAATGGATGAAAAGATGGATTTTGTTTCCTGTCTTCCTCTCTGAGTTTCTTAATGTTGTTGTCTCTCTCAGGATACATGGCACCAGCCTACAGGATACCCCCTCCAGAAACCTCTCACCACTCTGGAGCCTGAAGATGCCAGAACTGCCTTGGAGATTAACAAACTGGTATGTGTGAATGATTAGAGATCGTATATGGCATTAGACTTGATCTCTTCTTATGAATTTCTTTTCATGATTTTCAATCCTTCAATCTCCCCAGATCTTACGGTTTATAGGTGAGTCAGATCTCAGCGGCTGGCAGGAACAAATGTTGGGTAACTACATAGCAGAGAAGGGCCAGAGCCGACCAGCCTTGAGGGATGAGATCCTGGTCCAGTTGGCTCACCAGACGTGGGGCCTGCAGGAGCAGGACAGCCTGAGGGGCTGGCTGCTGCTTGCCTGCTGTCTCAGTGCCTTCACACCCTCACCGACACTGGACAAACCCCTGCTAAAGTAGGTGCTATGCTTTGGTTAGCCTTCTACTGCTATCAAGGATTAGTGGAGGGTGTACTGTACATCTTTTAAGATGTACAGTACACCCATCCATATCTATTAACTTTGGTGTCTCATTGACGTCTTTTGTTGTTTCTGCTTTTTATGGTGTTTAATTTTTTTATGGTTTTCGTCCACATTAAAACCAGGCACATGCATGTGTCACAAGATACTGTTCTGTGAGTGGAAAACCATCTTTTAAGATGCAACATTTTTGCTCTAAGTGCTCAGATGTCCTGCAGGCTCAGGACTCTAAAGATTGCTCACTTGAGCATCGTTGCACGTTCATAACTTTTCAGCACTGTGGGTGGTGGTATTGCTGCACCTCATTATCATTCTGTTATAGGCAAAAAAAATGTTGGCTTCTGGCTTGTTTGTATTTCTTTAGACCAATCACAATTGCCTTGGGTGGTGCTAAGTCAAGAATATAGCAATGGTGTTGATCAACAATCACAGCAAACATGGGCTGGGAGGCGAGCACTGTCATCGAAATAGCAAATTTAGGTGGCCTTCTTTACTGCATGATCCAAATGTGTTAGCTGTTGTTGCAAAATAAGTTTTGTATTTTACTTAAGTGGTTGTGTGAAGATGTAAATAAAACTAAATATCCAGTCATATTTAAATATCTTGTGAAATGGATTCACGTCATACTCTGCAGTATGAACAAAATTCAAATGACACTTGGCAGTTTCTCACAACTCAGTAGAGCATTTAATGTTTTACAGTTCATTGCTTCACAATGCAACCTCTGAGAAAATCAAATTTATGCATGTCCAGGACCTGACAACAGACAAAGTTAGATGGTAGCAACCAGCAGCTATTACCAGACATTTGGTAAAACAAAACAGCTTGGAGGACATGGAACGTTTTGACATTGATAGGTTGCCAGTAATATGACACCAGTTATTGATAATGTTGATCTAGATTTGATACAGGCAATAGTTTACTGGCATATAAGCAATCAACTACAAGGCCATCAAGGATATTTATTATCATTGCATTTCAACAATGAAACTTTGTTGGCACTTTAAAAAAAAACACAGAGTATGACAGAAAGCAACAAACAGCTTTATAAAACGATGTATTAAAAAAATAAAAACAAGTATTTACAAAATGATAAAAAAATAAAATAAATAAAAACAAGTATTTGAAGAGTTCATTTGCAAAAACAGATAACTTCATCTTCACAAACCTTCAGAAAACCCACTTTTCTATCGTCTACCTGAGACAACATCAATAAAACTTAAGTTATCTCCATTTTTGTCATGTCATTTCTACTGAGTCAAATCCACTCAACTTCAGTTTGATTGATATTATCTCAAGCAAACAACAACAAAATAAGTTTGCTGAAAATCTAAAAAAATTGAGTTTTCTGTTTTTGCAAATGAACTCTTCATTTACAAAAGCGTAAGAAGTGTAGTAGTGCAGTGAGGTGCAATGTCTGCATTAAAGTGTCTGATGCAAGTTTATGGTCCATCAGTGAGTCTCTGTTTGAGAGCTGGGGATGGGGGTGGGGTAATGGAGGCTACTCTGGGTTCTACATGTTTGTAGGTGGGATGAAGAGAGGTGGTGTAGTGTAATGGAGGCTACAGCTCTGAGGAAAAAGCCGTTCCTCGGTCATCATTTGTCAAATGTGTGATGTTTAGCATGTTGCCAGAGTTGAGTGACTAAGAATCTGTTGATTGCAATTCTAGATCCAGTCCCTTCAGTGGTTAGTCTTACCTCAGTACTTGGTTTCTGACAAAAAAAAGTCAAGTAACAGAAGGAAAGGTTTACTGCCTTAGGACTGTCTGAAATATCACTTTATCTGCCTGCACATAACGAATCCTATTTCTCTGGCAGGTATGTGTCTGACCATGGTCCAGGAGCGTATCGTTCACTGTGCCAACACAAAATGTTAACATCTCTGGAGCTCCCAGCTCCCACTGCCCGTATCTACCCACCCACCCTGCTGGAGTGGACCTCCAACCAGAGGAAGGGAACCATGCTGCTGGACGTAAACACCTTCAATGGTAAGACTCACTGAAAAGTTTACGTACTTAACATGAAACAGAGCAATTTGGCAAATAGCATTGTTGATTTACAAGTATTTGCTTTCAAAAACCCTTAACATCATGTGATTATTTTGCCTTAGATGAGAAACTGACAACTCAAGTGGAGTCCTGGACCACAGGAGAGCAGCTGGCCTCATGGCTTCTTCATTTCAGGTATTCACCTAGCTCTAAACATACAGCCTATTTACTTCCCTATAAGTGTTCTGCATGTACATCCTTCATGATTTTCCTCCTCTGTGTATTATTGGTGTCCCATAGAGGTGTGTCAGAGACAGTGCAGGGCTGGTCGGTATCTCTTGTGACTGATGAGGGCTGGTCAGACTTAGCTGGATCTGACTTCGTCATGGATCTGTTGGCTGGAGCTGAAACTGAAGTGCTGCCACCCCCAGGGACTCCCTCCTCTACAAACTCTGACTACCTGTTCAGCGGCCTGGGAGACAGGTAGAGCACTGAACAAGTGACTACAGTTTGGATCCTTCTAAATACCTGGATACCAATATCAACATCTTTGTGTCTGCTTCTCTCCAGGATGCCGGTTACAGATCTAGATGACTTCATCCCACCAGCACCTCCCATGCAAGCTCCTGGACTGCCTCCTTTTGAAGGAAACCCCTGGGGAAGAGGTTATCCACAGGAGGGTAAGTGTTAATGCTAACACACCAGTTTGCTTCAGACAAAATCTAATTTAATTTAATTTAATTCAGTTTCATTTTAATAGTTCTCAGCATATCTCACCTCAAGTTACTTCACATAGTAAGGTGAAGACCTTACAAAATGTATATGGGAATATTCAACAAGTCCAAAGGTTCTTTAGATTCCCTTTGAGAAAATATTTGGCAAAATATCTATCAGGACCATCAAACAGTATCTGAAAGCCCCTTCCACCACACCTTTCCAACATATGAATTAGAGATACTGCATCTGGCAATTCTGCCTGTTTCCTGCAGGAATTGACCAGTGATATGAAGACATGAGAAAGTAGGAGGGATGTGAATGTCTCTCACAGCTTCTTATTCTTAGTTTTTGCACAACTACTTACTAACAGCAGTTTTCTTTACTGTGCCCGTGAGCATGCCTATGTGGTTCTTCTGCCTTTAGCCTCCTGGCCCGGGGGGAACTGAAGGCCAATTCATTGGTTCCCCATGACTGATTCATACTTTAAAGCAAATTGCAGATTAACTCATGGTTGTATTCAAACTGCAATAGGTATGTGTCAGTCTGCATTGCATTGCCCCTCATATCGAACAATAATGTGCACACATTTAAAAGGCTGGATGCAACACCTTTTACAGGATATACAACTGAAGTTGTAAGAAAATAGAAAATAAACTGATTTTTTTGATTCACTATCAGCAAATCGGGGCTGCAAGGTAACACAGTTGGTAGCACTGTTGCTCGCAGCAAGAAGGTCGCCGGTTCGCGTCCCAGTGGGGGCACCGGGATCTTTCCGCGTGGAGTTTGCATGTTTTCTCCGTGTACCGTGGGTTCTCACCGGGTTCTCTCTGTGTTCTCCGGCTTCCTCCCACATGGTCCAAAAACCTATTGAGGGTTAACTGGTGATTCTAAATTGTCCGTAGGTGTGAATGTGAGTGTGCTTGATTGTCTGTCTCTAAATGTAGCCCTGCGGTAGACTGGTGACCTGTCCAGGCTGTCCCCTGCCTTCGCTTTAAGTCAGCTGGGATAGACTCCAGCCCCCTGCGACCCTAGAGAGGATTAAGCGGTGTATAGATAATGGATGGATGGATGGATGGATGGATTATCAGCAAATCTGTGTTTAAAACGCCCCTCATCAGTTTCAGTCTTACACGGTGGCTTGGTGACAATCATGTTTCTTATTTTTGTCACTTCCTGATCTTCTCTGATTTTCTTTTCTGAGGTGCATCAGAATAGTTTCAGGACTAGTGTCACTAAAGATATATTTCAAACCCAAACTACAAAGTAGGAGTTTTCCCCTTCAGACGATCAACCAGTGAGCGAGAAGTGGCGAGAGTTGTGGCAGGACAAGTGGTGGCTGCTTCGCCATGGCAACGCGCCTGTTCACAATGCCCTGAGCGTCCAACAGTTCCTGGCTGAGAAGAACGTCGCTGTGCTGTAGCAACCTCCCTACTCACCCCACCTGGCTCCATGGGATTGTTTCCTCTTTCCCAAGCTCAAGGAGGTCATCAAGGGCACTTGTTTCGAAGACATGGACGACATCAAGATGGTTGTGATAACGGAGCTGTGGAGGATCCTGGAAGAATCCTTCCAGGAGTGCATGGCGGCGTGGCAGAGAAGACTGGGAAAGTGTGGCTGGGAAAGGCTGGGGAATTACTTTGAAGGGGAAACCTTGTAGTTTGTAGTTTGAATTTGAAATATATCTTTTGTGACACCAGTCCTGGAACTTTTCTGACACACCTTGTCGTAGCTGGTTACATATTGGAATGTAACACTGGGTCTGTAATTACTCCTGAGGACCTCAGTGGGTGGACATAGCACAGGATTTCTGGAGAATATAAAACTTCTGACCATGGATGGACAGTATGCACAAATCAAAGCACCTGCAGAGTCCAGCAGAGAGCACTTCAATTGCAGCTGTTTTTAATGATGAATTATAAATGAGTGGATGACTGAGATTCTCCTCATACTGTCTGTCTTTGTGATAAGTGGTGCACTTGCAATGGGGACCATCTGCATGGTTACAAATTTTGGGCTGCATGTGGACATCCATGCCGACCCTCAAGGACTTGTTTGGTTGGCAAAATGTATGTCACGTGTACTCTTGTGGGCCTTTGTAAACGGCCAGGTGTGGAAAGCATGAATTGGCCTAAACCCATCTGTGGCCCCAGGAGTGTGCTCTGTATCACTCATGTAAATTGACACCCAGAACCATCCATCCATCCATTATCTATACACCGCTTTATCCTTACGAGGGTCGCGGGAGGGCTGGAGCCTATCCCAGCTGACTTAGGGCGAAAATGCAAACTCCACGCAGAAAGATTCCGATGCCCCCACCGGGACGCGAACCGGCAACCTTCTTGCTGCGAGGCAACAGTGCCACCCAGAACCAGACTGACATTATATGTCTAGTTGTTAGCCCTCTTCAACTTGCCAAGATCAATATGAACAACCATCTGTCAGGTGTTTTTTTTTATCAGTGCCCAGTATTTATTCCTAGCTGTTGTTAGCATGGCATACCATGACGTCACTCTCCAAACGCCTGCTGTACACCTGAATCTACCTACAAGAAGTTGTCAGAGGATTCTCATCTCATTTGTTCTCCAACTGCAGCAAAACAAGCTGTCCCAGTGTCTAGCAGATGCTCTTAGTTTACTTTCACTTGATAGTATTCCAGGTGATTATGCTTACACTGACTGACCTTCAGGGTCATGTAACTGAGACTGTTTTGAACTTAGCCACAAACTTAATCAAGTGAATTAGCATTTTCTCAGCTCAAGGATTACCAATCAGGCAAAGCAGACACTGCTGACAGAGGCTTTATACCGCGAGTGGTTTTCTGAGTGTTTTCACATTTTGTTCATATTGATGAATAAAGTACAACATCAACTAAAAGTACACACATTTTTCAATGATTCCTGAATCACTGACAGATCCTAGTTTTGAACAGCAACCCTAACTCTGGACCTCTAAATCAAAGCTTCGGGTTGTATGCTCCATTTCAGCTTCTGTACCTGTATGGAGAAACAATCAGCCAGTTAGAACTTTGTAGACAGGAGCAGCATCCATGAAAAATACAGACAGAAAATTGGAGACAAGCATAAATGAATGTGACACAGCTCTACAGGACACTTAGGGTCAAAGAAACAATCCATTACATTGACAACATTGATATTTTGCAATGTAACATTAAGCATTCATCTGAAGTAGCATTTCTGTTCAGGGAAATGTGTCCTGCAGCTGCTTTTTTATACATTTCTATGGCTGTACACAGTATTAAGCGCTTACTTTGGTTTCTTTTTAATGTTACGCTTGTTGTTGGCCAATAAAGCTGAATCTGATTCTGCTGCTTGCAGCTGGACATGCAGTGTACAGTGGGCTAATCAAAGCTTGTTTGCTGCCTGTTACACAGATGAGAGGCAGAAACATGAATATATATATCAAAACAAAATACTTATTCAGTCTGATTACTGTGTGAATGTGCTGAAAAGTTGTGTTCATTACAGATATTTTAAATGTATGTTGTGTTTATACAGTGTATACTCAGTTTTTAGTTGAAAGTAAGTAGCATCACACACACACAGAAATCGTGGCGGTCAAGCGTTTTTGCTCCAGGGCCCACTAACGAGTATCTCTACCTGTCTGCAGGGCGTGGTCGACAGATGGATGCCTATGTTGATGACTTATTTGACCCTGTACTGGACCACGGACCTCCGGTCAGTGCTGTTGTCAATTCATTGTATTATTCAAACTGTGTTTCAAAGAGAACTGTGTGGCCTAATTATCTTGTACTGAGCATGCTTATTGAGTCCTTCTGGATTGTGCATCTCTGATTGTCTCTTGTTACTTACTGTGTGAAGTGTCTGAACAAGTGTGTTTTCTGCAGTCTTTCCAACCCCTGCTCTTCCCTGTTTGTGGCTGGTCTGTCACTCACCTTTGTGACACCTTCATGTATTTGTGTGTGTGTGTGTGTGTGTGTGTGTGTGTAGGACATGGAAAGAGTAGCCATGCTGAATCGCAGGATGAGAGGAGGAGGGGGGATTGGACCCATGTATGGATCTGGTAGGAAAACTGGTACATTTTACATACTTGTGGAATGGTCTTGACGAAACAATTAAATAAAGTGTGAATACAATGCAATTTTTAAAAATGTGCAAAAGATATATCTGAAAAGTACAGAAATGAAGAGGGGAAATGTAACATGTACAGATGTTAATGGCGCTTGTTCATTTTCTTCTTTTTTTGTGTGTTTTTGTTGTGTTCTGTTTCCTTAAATAGCTCGATTGGAGTCGTTTTTTTTGTATTGCCTGTTTAGTTTATTGAATTGGATTTTGCATTTATTAATGGTGAAGAATGGGGGTAGGACTTGACAAGCCTAGGTTTCTTCCTATCCCTTTTCGAACGAGTCAGATGTGTATTATATTGAAGTTGGCTTTTATTTTTTATTTTCCTTTTCATTTTTAAAAAAAATGTTTGTTCATTTGAAATAAAGAATAAATAAATAGATCGATAGATCGATAGATAGATAGATAGATAGATAGATAGATAGATAGATAGATAGATAGATAGATAGATAGATAGATAGATAGATAGATAGATAATGGAGCTGGTATGACATTCAGAGCCACAACAAGCACAATAATGGGAAATATGAGAGATGGATACTTGGAATTTTCTTTAAATTGCATTCTATGCAGTGAACCATGCAGAGATCCTGCAAAATTTTCATATGAGGTACTTCAAAATGCCCTCAGCCTCAGCATAAACAGCATCACAGGAAAAAGATGGTTCTTGCATGGAAGTTTTGAGTTTTTCCAACTCAAAACTTTCACGTCTGTTAATTTATTTCGAGTCTATGTAAAATACTTTCATATATCACATTTCAAAAATTTCAAGTAAAAATAATTTTGTTTTTTATATGTATTTTTAATTGGCTCCTACAGAGCCACCTTCTTTATGATTTACATTTCCTTTTTCTTTTTTTTTTTGTTTTTTTTGTTTAAACGTTGGTCATTTTGTCTTTTTATTCATATGAGAAGCAAGAAGGATTTCTAGAGAATCTTAGCCTTAATGCAATTCACTGTGGGAAGCTTTTGCCAATAAGCTAACATTTACTCATTTGACCTCAATACTTGAAATTCTGAAAGTGATGTATTATTTTGAAATATTTATTTATCTAATCATGTAAAATTACTAGTCAAAGAAATGTTATTTTCTTATCTTATTTTGAAAGAAAAATCTCTGTAAGCTGAAATTAAAACTGGCCATTGTGATTTTCAGGTATGCCCATGACAATGCCAGTCTATCCTATGGGTAAGTGATCAGTGATCAAGAGTCAAACTTACTGTTCTGGTTGGATCATTTTCTCAAGCCATCATGGTATTAGCATAATGACAGTATCATTAAGAAAACAGGAAAATGTATTGCTGTTGACACAACATGTTTGTCACTCAGTTAGTTATAAAAACATCATTAATTCATTGGTACAGAACAAGGCGGCTACATTTGTTTTAAGATGTCCACATCACATCAGCTTTACTGGAATGCACAATAGACTATTTATTTCCTGTAGAAGTCAGACTTGTCAATGGGTTACTCTGATCTATAC